AGGATGAAAGGCACCCAAGCGTCGAGAACTCTCCTTAATAGGGTCACTATGAGTTGCCTGCGACTCGACGGCACTTAACAACAACATCAGAGAGCTGATAATCAAAACAATAGTGAGGTATCATCTTATGCCAGCAACAATAGCAAAGTTCAACAGGGCAGCAAACAAATAGTGGTGAAATTCTAGAGACTGGAACTTTTATTCACTTCTGGCAATGTAAAATGATACAACCACTGTGGAATGTGGTCTAGCACTTTTTCAAAAAGTTGGAAATAGAGATACTATTTGACTTAGCCATTCAAATACTGGGAATATACTCTAGAGAAATCAGAGCCATGACTCAAACAGATATATACAAACACATAAGTTTACTGTTGCTTTATTCACAATAACAAGGAGATAGAAGCATTTCAATTGCCCATCAACAAACAAATGGATAGAAAAACGGTGGTATATTAACACAATGGAATATTATGCCACAGTGAAAAAATGAACTTGTAAAACACTACACAACATGAGTGAGTCTGGAAGACATTTTGCTGAGTATCTCAGATACAAGGACAAATACCACATAACACTGCTGTTATAAAGTAAGACTGACATGGGGAGTTTGGGGGGAGAATAGGAAAAGAGTGGATAGATAATTAAGAATGCATTGACCAGATGAGGGGAAGAAATATCTAAAAGGAATGTATGATTAGGCATCTATATGTATGACAACAATCTGGAACAAGAAGTGCTATGAAAAGTGGACCGGGGGAGGGTGAAAAGAAGGAGAAGGGAAGGGGATGGTGGGGAGAGAGGAAAATGTCCAATGATGAATGAATGAAAACCCAAACTTTCTGTAAACTTCCATTAAAATCTCAATTTAAAAAAAATAGGAAAAAAGTTTTTTTTAAAAAGTTGTAAGCTCTGAAACCCGATCAAGGGTCACGTTGAGTCATAACTGTCTTATAATGAATTTGAGTTTTTTATTAGTAAAATTACTTTCTCAATTATGTCTGTTTCTTGGGTTCACTGTAAAAATAAGGTAACAGCTCTACCTTAATATCCCATGTTAAATCTGTTTGACCATAATGGAAAAAAAAAAGCCCTTTTGGAAGTTGATTAGACAACCTTTGTCTTTCAGACCACAGAGAAAAGGAACATCCTCTGTGAAGTATATTATCAGGTCAGCATCAAGGTTAAAGGGACTGCTATCTGAAAGAGCAGCTTGAGAAATCCAGTCTGCATTCTAGATGCAGGTCAAGACTTTAAAATAGAGTTAAAGGTTTGCTTTTAGGTTCCCATACAATTTCTAAATGAAAACAATGCTGATTGTAGCTATAATAAAGGTATTCTAACAATGTTCCTGTCTCAGTGTAACATTTCTCAGGAGAAATTCTCAGGTCAAAATACTTTCAACATTGCCTTTGAGTTGTAACTGACCCATAACTATCTATCAATGGGCTTGGGCATGACAAGGATTATGAGGATGGCACAGGATAGGGCAAGGTTCAGCTCTGTGCTCAAAGCACAGCTATGAGTCATGGTCACCTGGATGGTACTAACAACAGAAACTCCAGTAGAGTCACTGGTGTATTCAAACTGCAAAACAAGCCACCTTTGAGTTAAGCAGTGAAACATTCTATAGACTACACCACCAGAGCTCCAGGTCAAAAGTTCTAGGAATTTTTCAAATCTTCTAGGTGAAGCTATTAGCACTGTCATACATCAAATCAAGCAATTAGTTGGGAAACTCAACATTTAATCCAACAAAACTCTGTTCATATTTCAAGAGCTAAGATGAAGCATGATTGCTAATACATAAATTCACATGGACCTAAAAGAAAGTTCTGACTTGATAAAGTTAATGTACACAAAAGAACATTCAGTTAATACAAGCTAAGAAGAAATCTACAAGTAGAAAATGCAGGTAAGTTCCAACACTGGGGTTACCAATTTGCTACAAGGAACTTCAAAATCCCATTTTAGTTCAAAAGAATACATTATATGCCCTGTGCTAGTCCCATGACATTCTTTCACAGCAGCCAGCATTTGGTAAAAGCACTGGGCCTGAAGTGGGTGGCCTCAGTTTCCTCTGGTGGGACTGGGTTTGGAGGCTCAAGGGAAATGAGAAGGATCATGATTCTTATAGAGGAAGAATTTCTTAGAAAAGCAAGAGAATCTTGCTTTAGCTTGTACAGAGAGAACTTTGGGATCCCTATGGATTAAAAGAAATATCCTATTTCTTAAAAAAACAGACTTGTAGAAAAGGATGAGTTAGCTTCATCAATGTTGTAACCAATTTCTTTGTCAAAAGACTTTGCAACATTCAAGTTATAAAAAGTTCATATAGTTGTGCATCTTGGCTTGCTATGAGAAAAGGAAAATCTCAATTTTCCCACCTAAATATTTCTTTAGTGGCTTTCTGAACCTCTCACAGGGAAAGAGGAATCTGAAGGCACACGATGGTTCGGGCTAAACACCAGCCTCTCTTCTGTGTGGAACTTTCCCTGACATCCTGCATCTTGCATGTCCCCACCACTCAGAGGGGAGGTCAGCATGCATGTGTGATATTGTCTGTGGCTCAGCAAGCTGGACCTGCCTGGAGGCACCACCACACAATCAGGGCACCCAGTATGCGCTCGAGCCCACAATTCTGCGAGGAGTTTTCTGGCCACTTTTCGAGGCCCCAGAGCTTCCAGTGCCAGCTGATCCCATCTGTACAAGGTCTGGTCAAGAAAGGCAATCATCTCATAGGTTATGTCTTCAGTCTGGGCTATCTGCAAGAAGGACAGAATGACGGCAAATTAAAACATTTTCTGCTCACCTGTGAATGATCTCAAACCCAGCCTCCTTTTGCTTTCAAGGTTATCATCACAAGAAGTATACTTTCAGGAACACCCTGTAGAGTTGGCAGAGAGCCTTCCAAGGGACCACCCTCTACTTCAGTGAGGTTTAGTTCAGAAGATAATGGTGTTTGGCCCACAAGGAGCCTGACCTGAGACATGCATTGCCTAGAAGCAGCTATAAACTTTGAGGGCAGAGAGAGTGCAAACTAGGGCCTGACTTTCTGAAAAGCTTCACCTGACACATGAGATGTGGCAATGCTGTTCCCTCACACAGATGGGAGAGGTGTCTCTGACAAGCATCCCAGTTCATTCATAAACAGGATGCACACCAGACAGGAAAGCTACAGTCAATTGACACCACATGGAGCACAGAGCTAGCTGATATCAGGACAGACAAAGCACAGAGCTAACTGATGTGAGGACATAAACTAGCTCATTTTGGGACATATGAGGGACAGAGTTAGCTGATGTGAGGACAGACAGAATTAGGTGATGTCAGGATGTAAGCTTAAGGTTCTAACATCTGATTCTCATAGAAAGGTAGGAAATATCAAGGTATTGTTAGCTGTTGTTCCGAGAAGTATTTCTCTAAGAATTTAAGTAGATATAAGAGAAGGTTGAGTGAGAAGGGAGGCACCAGACTCCCACTATTTAGGTGTGTGAGTAATCTGATTTATTAGATAGCAGTAAGCTGGTGTAGCCTAGTGGCAAGAAGCTGTGCTGAAATTCTAAAGGTACATGGTTTGAGGTCACCAGCTGCTCTGTGGGAGAAGGCTGGGTAATCTCCTCCCGTGTGATTAACTGCTTCTGAAAACCCGTTGGAAGGTCAGCTATGGGTCAGTTTCAATTCTAGTGCTCAACAACAACAACAAGCTGGAGGTCTAGTGGGTAAGAAATCGCACTGTGAACTCAAAGGCGCGTATCTCATATCTACCAGCTGCAGAACAGGACAAAGATGGGCAATCTCTACATGTGCTATTA